GTAAATTCGAGTTAAAACACAGACTTTGCTTATCCCGTGCGAATGCGCCGCACGAAACACAGACGTGGTGGGGTAATCACTAAATCACACGAGGTCACCAGGTAATACTAGTCCCGTGCGAATAGGGCTTCATACACTAATGTACTATTATTACATACTTAACGATTCTTTTAGTACTGGCGATTGGATTAAGTGTCATTATTCTATTTTGACAGATTCTGGCTCACAACATCCTTGTGGTCATGGCCATCATGTTCCCCGCTGACTTCACTCCTGAGGTCCATGTGGCTATGGACAAGTTCCTGGCTGCTCTGGCTCTGGCACTGGCTGAGAAATACCGATAAACAGCAGGAGCAGGAGCAGATGATGCACAGCAGCATGGGCTTGGATGCACTCTGTCAGTCTGAATATCAATAAAAGAGCAAATGCAATTAAACAGTTTGTGTGGAGTAATTTTTTATCGTGAATGTTTAAAAGTGTGTCAAGTCAGGTCAACAGCATGCATATTATCATTTTAGTGGAATTTGAATTGGTATAACGCATGTCAACCACGGTTCAACAATATTACTTTAAACAAAACAGACAAAAGAATTCGCACAACAACATAAACACCCTATTTTAATCGACCAGAATGAGTGCAAATGAATAAAAGACTTAATAGTGCAGACACTACTATTGCAACAAGATACTATAGGTCAGGGGTCAAGGGTCAAGTGCCATTTTAAAATTTACTTCTCAATCAGTGGGTCATGTCAACATTAAGATTAACATTAAGTATGACACAACACCCTACAAATGTAAATGTTCAAAGGATCTGAGTTGAAATTATATTACAGCCCTGAGTTGCAACTCTCTTTATATCTATCTATAACTATATACTGTATATATATAACTATATATATCTATAACTATATATAGTGGCAGTAATATAATTTCTCTCTCTCTCTCTCTCTCTCTCTCTCTCTCTATGTATATACTTTCTCCTTTCACTCACCTTAAAGGTTTTGAAGGATAATTATAGTAAAAATGTATTCTGATAAGTGACTCTTTATATAATAATCATTATTTTGTTGCAAAGTACAAGTTTTTTGTACAAATTTGATCTTGCTTCCAAACGTTTGGCCTGTAGTGTATATATAGATATATCCATTAAGACAACATTAAAATATCTGAGTTTAAATAATGTTACAGCCACTGGTCTATTAACTCCCCTTACAGTGACTTACAGTGCAAGATTTTTGTGCTTTACTTGAACATGTTGTTATTATTGGTATTGAAGCTTTAAATGGATTTAAATACTTCTTCCACCACTGAACATACGTAAATATATATCGAGGATAAAACTTTTACAATTTCAATTGTATGCATTCTAATTTGACCATAAATCCAGGCAGAGGAACACACAACTTGTTGAATATGCTTATTGTTTTATTTATTTATGCTCTTGAGACATGATAGAAATAATGCTTTTTCACAAATGATCAGCATGTAATGGTCTTCTTTCTCTCTAGTGGTATTGCCTTCCCAGGGAGGACACCACCACGGCCAGGAACTTCTGAAAAGCTGCCTGGACATCACCAGTGAAGTCTTTACCCAGCTTTGCAGCAACCACAATGGTCAGGCAGTCAGACAACAGCTGCAAGACAACAAGCATCAGAAAACATTAACATGAAATGCGTTTGTGGAATAATGGTTGAATATGGATAACAATAGTTAAAGCTCCACAACTTTACCTTGAAATTGTCAGGGTCCACGTGCAGTTTCTCGGAGTGCAGCACGCTCAGTTCTGCATATGTGGCCTTGATGTCGTCCATGTTCTTCACAGCCCGGTCCAGACCGTGGAGGACAACTTTTCCGTGAGCTGCAACCATCGGATTTGCAGTGATAGCAGCGGCGTTGTAGAGGTTTCCAAAGTTGCCGAAATACCTCTGAGTCCAGGGGTAAACGACCAGACACCTGAGGGAACATGCAAAAACATGTAGTATAACTCGAAATTGTTACAATAATGCATAATTAGGCTACTTCTTTTTGCGCATTCATGTTAAGGAGAAAATACAACAACAGAGAAAATCTTTCACCTGGAAAGGGCTGCAGGTCCCACGACCTCATAGTCCATCTTGGAGAAGATGTCCTGGATGGTGGCGCGCTCGAAGTCTGTCCATTCGACCATTTTGCCGGCTGTAGATTTGTTTTACGAGTCCTGTGTGGGCAATGACCAGATGCTACTTTTAAAAGAATCCTTTCACTCCTCCCAAAACATGCTATTGGATGGAGTAGGGCAGTGGGTTGGCCAAGTATAGCTACGGATTTCCAAAAATGATAAGAAAATGACAAATCTGCACTGCTTAGATTGTATATGAAGCGGAGGAAATAGATATTGCTGGGTGTGTGAATTCATGCAGTAAAAAGAAGATCTAAGCTGGCAATACTAAAACGAAATACGGTTTAAAAATGGGGCCAGATTCTTACGAATTTTTTGAAATGCTTGAAAAATGACAAATTTTACTTTCTAAATACCTTTAGTAGTATTATTTATTCTCAAACTTGTAACTATCTTTTACATTAGGACTGCAATACTGCAATATTCGGATTGAATTCGAATTTAAATGAAATCACATCAGCTTTCTGTCTGACAGTATTAACGAGCCTACGTTTTTCTGGTCTTCTGGCCATTCAAAGTGCTTTACAACACTTGTCACATTCATTTACACAAACATGCATACACTGATGACAGAGACTGTCATGCAAGGAGCCAACCTGTTCATCGGGTTAGGGGGTCGATAGCTTCCTATCTAAAGCAATTTGGGGTTAAGTATATTCTGTCAAAAACAGTCCAAGGACACTTCTAATGGATTGGGGGAGCCGGAAATCGAACCATAGACCCTCCAATTCTTATAAAACAACCTGAGCTCCCCCTAACGTGGATCTAATAAATGATATCCAAACTTGAGGTAATAAATCCAGTAGAGGGCGCTCCTACGCGTCAGGGAAACTGACCTCTGCATGACCGGTTCAAGTTGAGGATAATGCAGACCAAGATAAATGATGTTTGTAAAATCACAACTGACAAACCTTCTTTGAGATCAGTTTAGTTTTTGCATTTATGTATCGATCTATGGTTTACACAACAAAAAAATACTTCGGTATGACTTAGACGGTAATTATCATTTGACATCATTGTAATCATGTTAAAAAAAAATAATATCTGTCTATCTATATGTGCATTTGTTTCCCTCCCAGCTCACTTTCGATGTTAAGACATTAAAGTTATATATACATATAGTGATTTACATTATTTATGGGTGTACCCAAGTTTTATTTTTCTGTTGCAACAGAATGGTGGCTTATAAGGGTGGCTTATTTTACGCCACGCTGTAAATAATGGTGGGCACAAAGGTAACCATATGAAGGGAGATATACTCAAGATTGGGCAACAAGGACAACTGACAACATACAGTATGTGTAATGACAGAAACAGTCTTTGACTTAAGAACTCCTTTGTCCCTTATGCCATCATACTCTACATCTCCTCACTCAGGGGGAGGAGGAAATAGGGTAAAGAGGACAGAAGGGAAGGAGTGGTAGCACTGTGCAATAATAA